TTGTGTCAGTGGAGGTCACCGTCGCAACGATTATTTTGCGGTCTGTGCTTTTGTTCTTGTCGGGGAATCTGGGCGACCTGATTACCATTCGGCCGGCTTCTGTATGGTAGCCTTTACGAATCTGTTTGGTGGCTATCTGTCGTAAGTGGACTGATCAAAGCTCGGCGATGGCCTCTTCGCGGCCGACCTAGTAACTAGTCAAGATGAGGTCTTCTTTTGGTCTCTTCTTGGGAAGAACAACTCTTGAAATGAATGCAAACTCTTTGACTCGGACTCTGCAGAAGCTCCGCAAATTCCCACAAGGTGTATATTTTCCGCGGCTTTCAACGTTTGCGGTTGCTTGATGAGTCAACCCTGAAATGAAGCTTAGTGGTGAAAGACTCCAACTCCAACCTACAGGATTTACCATTTAGGGGGCAAGGTTTGTCGTTTTCCCTGGCTGTGGGCTTTGCAGTTGGAGATGTTGGAGGCTCAAGGCTTTCATTTTTAGGGTTAAGGGGTAAGTCGAGGGCTCTAGGGTAGGGCAGACCTTAGGGTTTACAGTACATGTAGAGTGCAAGGTTTATGGTCTTCGGGGGCGAAGGATTCGCAGTTGGGGGCTAAAGGTTTACAGTTTCGGGTCCAGGGGGTGGATGTCCTCAGTTGAGGGTAGAAGTGTGTGGGTCGTGGGGGTTTGGGTTGGGGCTCAAAGGTTCAAGTTTTTCAGGGTTCAGGGCGGAAGTTCTTTTGGGGGCGCATGCGCATACAGCAGCAAAATCTCATAGGTCTTCCAGGACCTAGTGGCAGCGGCCAGCAGCAAAAAAGCCGCGGAACAAAAATTAACACCCTGGGCAGAATGAGACTCAGCGAAACCGGCTTTCGTTTCGGTTCGTTTCGGTTTGCGGGACGGGTGTTGGTATTGGTCCGTTTCCAATTCGCGAGCGGTTTCCGTTGGGGTTCCGTTTGGTTCGATTCGGTTGGGGCATCCCGCCAGGAAGGGGATGTGTGCTTTGGGACAGGCTGTAAACCTTGAGCCCCCAACTGCAATTTCGCCCAAGAGACCATCAACCTTGCCCTCCGCATGTACTGTAAACCCAAAGGTCTGTGCCCTACAGCGGTTCACTCCACGACCCTAAAAATTGAAACCTTACAGCCCCAACTGCAAACTCCCAACCCTTGCAAACCATAATCGCCACAATCCACTTCTTCGACCCCACCCGCCCTACTTACAACGCCTTCTGCAAACCCTCAAGCCCTCGACCTTGGAGCGTTTCAGGCAGTAAAGTCGCAAAGCGAGCAATCGAACCGCTCGAAATCGTCCACACGCAGGAACCGCAGGAACAGCGCCCCACAAACCGACCGGCAAAACCGAACCGCCACAAACTGAACCGAATTTCAAGACCCTTACCATGGCTCTAGGACTCTAGGGTTGGCCGTTGGGGCTCCGGGTTTTAACATTTTCAGTTCAGGGGTTGAACGCTTAGGAACGCTTTTCGGGCTGAAGTGCTCCAGGGTCGAGCGTTTTCAATTCGATGCACCACGTCAAAGCATGGCTTTGGGGTTGGCATTCGGGGCTCAAAGTTTTGTTTGCATTTACGGTTACGGGGAAGAACGCCCAGGCGAAGAGTTCTGGCGTTTACGGTTTGAATGCAAGGTTTGAGACTTCCGTGGTTGTGGGCTTTGCAGTTGCGACTTGTGATTTCTCATGTTTAAGTTAGAGGCTTACAGTTTAAAGCCCAACGTGAAAACCTGGCTTTGAGGTTGGCAGTTGGGGCACAGGCTTTTACGCTTGGGGTTAAGGAGAAGAATGCTCGAGTGCAGAATGGTTGCGGGGTACCATGCTCGAGGATTTTTAAGGTTTACAATTTAGAGCACAAGGTGAGAACATGGCGCTGCGTTTTGGCAGTTGGGGCTCAAGGCTTTATATTTAGGGCTAAGGGGAAGAGCGCTCGGGTGAAGAGCTTCAGGGCGGACGGGTTAGAGTGTGCAAGCTTTGTGGTTGCTATGGTTGTGGGCTTTGCAGTTGGGGCCTCAAAGTTTTTATCCTAAGGGTTAAGGTTTTTGTTAATGGTCGACGGTTATTTCGGGTCTAAAGTATGAAGCATGAGGTGAAAACATGGCTTTCGAGTTGGCAGTCGGGGCTCAAGGCTTTTATGTTTAGGGTTAAGGGTAAGTTAAGCTCTGGTGAAGAGCTTCAGGGCGGACGGGTTAGAGTGTGCAAGCTTTGTGGTTGCTATGGTTGTGGGTTTTGCATTTGGGGCCTCAATAGATTTTATCCTAAGGGTTAAGGTTTTTGTTAATGGTCGACGGTTATTTCGGGTCTAAAGTATGGAGCATGAGGTGAAAACATGGCTTTCGAGTTGGCAGTCGGGGCTCAAGGCTTTTATGTTTAGGGTTAAGGGTAAGTTAAGCTCTGGTGCTGAGGCTGAGGCTTCAGGGTTGTGAACTACAGTGTGTTTAAAGCCATGGATCCCGGCAGCATGTCGAAACTTCGGAAAATGCAAAACCGTACTGGAACAGATGAGTTCATTTTTTCATTGACTTTGCATTTGTGGCGTCTTTTGCGTTGTTTTCGTTTTTTTTTGTTTTTTTCGTTGGTTTTTGGTTCTTGTCTGGTTTGTCATGGAAATTCTCGCACCTGGCCGGTGCTGTATTTTGGGAATTTTCGGATTAGGCAAATCGTAGATTTTAAAGGGAACGTGTTTTACAAGTTTACAGAGCTTGTCGTGCACATTACTGGCCAAACTCTCCAGAGTCGAGGGCTTTTGGGGCTTACATCTCAGAGCACACGGCATATTTCTAAGCGTGTGGTGTAGGGGCTTGAAGGCTTTGACATTATGGTTTTTAGGGTTTACGCTTCGGAGTGCAAAGGGTCAGGTCTTTTCAGCTGGGGGCTCGAAGTTTTGATTTTGAGGGTTTCAGCTGCTTTTTTCTAGGGTGGAGGGTGAAATGGCGTTTGGGATTCAAGGCCTTTTACACTTAGAGTTAAGGGGAAGAACGCTCGGGTGCAAAGCTTTAGGGTTTCGTTTCCATGGTTGGTCCAGTGTAAGGTTTACAGTTTGAAGCACGCGGTGAAAACACTGGGTTAGGGCTGGGAGTTGGGGCTCAAGGCTTTTGCAATTAAAGTTTAAGTGAAGAACGTTCAAGTGCAGAGTTTTAGGATTCGCTGATGGGAGTGCGAGGTTCAGGGCCATGCGGTTGGGGCAGGGTCACGGTGTAGACGCTCCAACGTCAGGGTTTTTCGGGTTTAGCTTAAAGCGCAAGGTAGTTGGGGTTCAAGGTCAATCGGGTGCAGAGCTTTAGGGTTTAGGGTTTACGGTTTATCGTGCAAGGTTCATGGTTTCCAGGGTTGTGAGCTTTGCAGCTGGGGCCTCACGAAGTATGAATTTATTTCAGGGTTGAGGGGTAAGCTTCCAGTGTCGAGGTTTTTTGAGGGTTTGCAGCTTAGGGAGCAAGGTGCAAACATGGCCACCTTTCAACAGCACTGGTGCTTTCCGAGCCATGCACCTGTCCCTCTACACAATCAAGCTCAATGCTTTTACATGAAGGAAAGAGTTGATCTGTACCGAGATTCGATTCTGACGGATTTGCACGAGAATGGGGCGCAACGCATTCGCAATGCCACGCTGAGGTCGGAAGCCAGACAGTTGACGTGACCGTTATCGGGGCAGAAGGCTCCGCTGAATGTAGCCTGAAGCCTTGAGTTGAGCAGTCGACAGTCGGATGGGGCGGCCTTACATGTCGTCACAGGACTGCCGAGAGCGGATCGCCGTGGGCATTCCGATCCTTATGTGATTGTCCAGGTTGCGATGTTGAGATTGCGCAGAGACATCGCACCGCACGGCAGCATTGACATTTCTGTCGTCGTGTTTGCAGGTTCCAGGCAGAAGTCGGTCGAGAGCAAAGACGACAGCCTGGCCCTTGTATCTGTTGCTTCAAAGAGCACGGCTTCCGTGCTTCTAATCAGCATCCCATCTTGAGTCTTTGTCTTTCAGAGGCTTGCCCGGGTGTTTCGATTTTCCGCAATTCTTGCACTCATCCTGAGCCGACTGCATCAAATATGCGAGGTTTCCAGGTTAGGAAGGGTGCGCGCGCGTTAAGTGTTGTGCAGCTTTGTTCACTTGGCGTTGTTTGTGTGGAAGGGGAGCGTGACAGAATTGGAAAGTACACACATGACAACCGCCACCACTGCCAACGCCATTCCTGCGTCCGCCACCACCGCCACCGCCACCGCCACCATCGCTGCCGCCGCCACCACCAACAAAAGCGACGACGACAACAACAGCAGCAACAGCAGCAATTTTGCAATTGAACGCTGGGCGAGCGTGCTCTGCACTTGGCGGGCGTATTGCCTGACCTGGCACTCATGTGAAACAGGGATGAGCTGACTCTGTGCTAAAAGACTGTGTAACAGAAATTTACATGACGTACAGTAAGAACGGAGCTGCAGGTCCGTTGTTACGAACGTTGTAGGCTGGACTACCGAGTGAAGAGCTTGGTACAACCCCCGACACCCTCAGTGTGAGTCATCGCATCCGATACTCACGAACCCACGATTGCTGGGTCGTACTTGGAGCAGCAAGCCGCAACAAGCCGTCTCCCGGAGTGCCAGTTTAGTGGCGTCCCACACTTGGTCACTCACAATCGAGGGCGATGGGCCGTAGGGACGAGCGCGATTGCGAGGCACACGAAAACGTGATAATGCTGTCACCGTCTTCTGAATGCATGAACTGCCGCTTGCACCTATGCCAAAGAACTACCTTCTCCTGAGCGCATGAAGAAGGCGGGCTGCCATTGTACCTCTCAGAGCTAACAAGATGGGTGCAGCACACGACTGCAGGAATGCAACACTTAGTGCACGCACTGTGTTTTGTACAGCAATGAGAAGAAGGTGCGTCGTCCGTCTCGCTTGTTGTGCGAGATGAGGGAAGAAAAGCACAGGCGGTGCGGCAGCACCGATGAATAGCATCGGTGGCCTAGTGGCAGCAGGCTGTGCCTCGTCAGGTTTTAGGCTGTGCCTCTCAACGCCAGTTGTCCGAGCCCTGGCCACGCCAAGAATCATAGTAGTCCTCCTCGGCGTACTCCTCTTCTTCTTCGCCCCAGGGCCAAGGCTGGGGGTGTGCTTCCCAGTTCCATGAGCCGTCCCGTTCCGAGGAAGGCCATTCATCGTCGTTGTGGCCGTAGTCATGGCCAGTGTCTTGGCGCCTGTCCCTGGATGAAGAGGAGGGCTCGTCTTTGTGGCGTTTGGCTCGAGCGTGGTACCACCAATTCTGGTACGCCCTCTTTTGACGATCGAAATCATAAGCTCCGGGGCGATACGGGGTGGCTGCATCGTGGACAATGCGTATGCCCAATTCCGGCCATTGTCTCCTGATCACACGAGAAGCAAGCCCTGCCATTCCAGCTGCGTGGTTGTAGTAGGTAATGATGGTGGTGCAGATGAGGTCATAGTGATCCCAATTCTGCACAGGCGCTTTAACTCGGCATGATGTGTCCACATGCGCTGAAACAAAGCACTGATGAGGCCGTGAACTTTGGTCGGGGTGGCCATCTCGTAGTAGTCCCGACCGTGCCCTGTCGCCACCGTGATCTTCCCCTCCGCTGTCAGCACTGGCCGCACCGTCATTGCCAGATCCCATGTAAGGCCTTTTTCTGTGCGAACCTCGTCGATGGGGAAGAGGCGAGGAACATGTGCGAGTGCTTCAATGCGGGACTGCCACAAAGGTCGCTGTTCCTGCGGTGTAAGGCCCCCGATCACCGTGGGGGAACCAAGCACCTGAAAGTTTGCGATCGACAATATCCACCTCTGCAAAGCCGGCGATTCAAGCTCGTGCAGAACGTCCTCCCTGGTCAGCTGAGACATTGGCTTCACCGTTGGGGGGGGATCTTGGGCCACGTATGGAACCATGGCTGTACCTTCAACCGGGGGTTCGAACTGGGGTAGCCTCACAGCAACTGTAGAAGAGTTCGATCCCGAGGCGGTAGGCGAGGCCTCAGCCTCCGGTGGAGAAGACGTGGGCCGTTTAGGTGGAGCCGTGCTAACTGGAATTGCTGCTGGAGGAGCTGGAGAGTTGACAGCTGCTTTGGGGGCCGCCTTAGCCGGGGCAGCTGGGGGTGCTGGGGCAGCGATCCCTGCAAAGGGGTCAGTAGGAGGGGTTGGTGGCGCAAATCCAGCCGCTTTTGGCTTGGGCGGGAGGCGTGCCAAGCGAGCCTCAGTCACCATCGCCGGAGTGGGGGGGGGGAGGTGCTGGAATAGACGGATGTTGGCGCGCCTGAATCGCATAAGAGCTGCTCGGTGGGTTCTCCGGCTCCACCGGAACATTGCTGGCATTGTGGCGATTTTGTCGAAATTGCGGCTTGATGCCGCCCCCCGTGCGAAAGGTGACAAAAAAGCCCTTTCTCTCACAAAAACGGCAGCCCAGGTGATCCGGTTTGCTCGGATCGTTTGACATTGCCAGGCCTCGGGGAATCAGTTCCAGGACGTCCTGCTCCGAAAGATCTCCTCTATAATAAGACGATGCCGGCACAATTTCCATGATCGTGGCGAAGGAGTTGTCGTGAAGACTCTGCTCCACGTGCTCGGCAATTTGATTTCTCGAAGGGACTCCAGTGCGGTCCCCGGGCTGTGCCCCTACTGCATCTGGGCTGTGCCCTGACGATTTCAATGCAGTAGCCTCTGCAACCGCAGCAGGCATGTGTGCCAGTGTTTGCGAGTTGGTGCGAGACTTCGTGTCCGGATCGTCAGGGAAGCCCTTGCGCCAGCCCCAGCAGCGCGTGTATGCCACCAGCACATCCCTAGCCGTGACGAAGTGGTGCCCCTCATTCGGGGGACTACCGTTCTTCTTGTGCCACACGTCGTGCTTCTCTTGAAACAAGTAGACTGGCCCGTACGTGGTGGAAAGGTTCCACCCAACCTTGGGCTGCTTTCCCATGTCGGCTTCGAGCGTAGCCCAGAGGTACTTGCAGAAGATCATATATTCCAAATTTGCAATAGCGGTTCTGACGCGACCGCCGAAAGCATGTTGGATAGCCATCTTCATGAGAGGGTGGCCCGACTTGCCGTAGATGATGCCCTGAAAGATGTGGTCTTGCTTGACACCAATGGCCATCACCAGGTACTCCTGTGGAAGAGTACCTGCCTCCGACGGGTTATACCCCAGCGCTCTGGCTGCGCTAATTTGGGCTGTGCCCCACTCTGCCGCAAGAAGTGTCAAAACCTCCGCCCAAGGCCGGACGAAGGCGAACTTGATGTCCAGGTACATGCCGCCATATTTATAATGGTAAATATACCTAAAGACATCTGCACGGTGAGCGGGGGACTTCAACCGATCCAGGAGCTGGAGCCCGTAGGTTCCTGCCCAAGACTGCACTGTTTGGCGGAGAAAAGCATCGTCACAGAACTGGCGTTGCATATTCGCAAACTGCTTGGCACACATCTCCCTGGGTTCCGCCGTGTTGTCGTGGATGTAAGTCTGGAAGATGCGGTTGGGGATGGGGGCACGAGCCAGGCCGGAGATGTAGAAGTGCCGCATGCTCCAAGGGGCCTGAGAGAAGTGGGCTGCCGTCTCGGCCAGCTCTCGCATGTGGCGGCACTGCGCCACGGCTCGACTAGCCGTCATTTCCGTGCAAAGATCAGCAAGGCGAGCGTTCCAGTTGGCCACCGCCAAAATTGGAAGATCATCGGGGCGTTCGGTCCTCATCACGTCAATGGCCCGGGCTACAAGGGCCCCAATGGCCACCTCAGCCACTTGGGGCCTGAAATGCAGATCCCTCATGGAGTACAGCTTGTCGATGTTCGGCAGGTTCTCGAGCAGCATGATTTCATGGCCGTACAGGTTTTGAGCGGAGAAGCCGTACTGCACCCTGCCCTCGGCCAAGAAGTCATAAGGAGCTTGCCGCTGCGGCAGAAGGCTCTGTTCGATGGGTATGAACCGGGCGGAGTCGGTATGGATCCTCAGCATTTCTGCCAAGGCTTCGTTCTGCACTGGAGCCTTGAAACTGTGGCTTCCCATCGTCTGCCCGAACTGCCAGTGCAGCAGTTCCAAAATCGACGGCGCCGTTGAGGAGCTCAATGCCATCGCCGCCCCCGGGCAGCTGAGAACATAGCCATCAAATATGGGGTAGATGCCATAAGATTTCCCGTGCAGTAAGAACTGCAAGGTACTGTCGCTCAAGACCAAAAATGGTCGAGACGTGGCCCCAGGTGCGGCCATGATGCAAGCGACTGTGTCGCGTCTGGTGGGCTGTGCCCCCGCCTTTGTGCTACTGATTTAAAGAAAGAGAGCTGAGGGAGCTGAATTGCTGCATACGTTAAACATCACCTTATGAAACTAAAGTGTGTGTCGGCTGATTGCCTCGGTCAGTGGGCACCGCTCTGCTCTTGAGATCAAAACCACGCAAGCATGCAGAGGAAGTGTCAGCTTCCTAACGCAGCGCAAAGGCGGACACAGAGTCGATGCTGAATCACTGGCAAAACCATGCAAGAGCGCACGGTGCCGCCGTCAGCTATGGTTCCACAATGGCTCACTGCGTCATGGCCTGTCAGGCGAGTCCAATTGAAATACAGGTAAGAGAGCGCTCAAATATGGTCCCATCCCGCTGGCCGTCTGTGAAGCACCTGGAGCTTGCGAACCCTTGCCTTTCGCCACGCAGAAAGCTCAGACAGCCGGCGGCAGTCGTTCGCTGCAAACACGTAAAAAGCAGGCTGTGCCTGATTGAGCGGGCTGTGCCCCCCTGTAAGCATCAAACTATCCAAGACACGGAGGCAGAATGGCCTGAGTCGGGGGATTGTTGAACGGGGGGAGCCTGAAACCTAAAGACAACAGCCTATCTCGAAGACCTGCGGTGAAACGTTCCCATCCTTCAGCAGTGTAGGCTGTCAAGACAATTCTATTCGGGTGGGCAGGAGCAAAGCTTGTCCCTGCGTGGAGTACATGACACCTGCTCGCATTCTTGTGGCACCAGGGATTTCCTGGTAAACGTTACCCCCCGATCTCTCCACCCACAGCTGGCCCGTAGTATCATAAGACAGTTGCAAGACAAAACTATAGTCAGTGCCGACATTCTCGACTTTAGTCAGCAGCCGTTCTCCCGCGTTGCAATATAGGGTCAGAGTCGTCCATGTGTGCTCCGGAGAGCATAGCGCCACCAGGTAGGAGACGCGTGGAGTCCCGGCGGGGCTCGAACATATGCGCCAAGGTGACACTTCTGCTCTTGTCGTTGTCCTCTCGGGGCTGGAATTGGTGCTCGAATGGCAGGTCCGCTGCCACTTGTCTTATCGCATCCCAGAGCGACAGTGGCTCATCCTTCACAAGCGTTGTCAGGAAGGCATGCGCTTTGATTTCTGGGACGATGGCATTGCGCGGCAGCGAAGGCGCACATGTCAGGGGGAGATGCCCCCGCTGAGACGCTGGCGGCAAATGCGTAGTACTGATAGCTGACCTCGCCTCGTCCAGTTGGGACAAGAAGTCCAGGAAATGAAATTTGCCAGGATCTGGAAGAACCTCCAACGCCCAGCCGACCACGTCATTCCTCGGGTACATGCTTATGGCAGGCGGCAGAGATATGTCGTGGACGTCGCAGGCACGCATCACAAAATCCAGAAGCAGCGAGCCCTCGTAATAGTCAATGAAGATGTCCGCCGGGAGTTCGAGGACCCGAGCCGCCATGGTGGCAACGCTGAGCGTATGGCATTTAGAAACCCTGCTGAAGCCTCACGAAATGGCGAGAGCAGAGGGTTTGCACCCGTGACGAAGAGGCAGGAATGCGCATGAAAGCTGCACGGCTCCGTTATCACTGCCGCAGAGGACCGGATCACAGCACTGCAGTTGAAAAATTTCGTGAGCGTAACAAGAGCTATGCGCCTGTGCGCTATGCTATGCGCCCGGGAGCACATTTGCGTCCTCCTCCGGTTCTGCCCAGATGCCGCGAGGCGGGCTTCGGGATCGATTCATGATACCGAGCTGGGGTACCGGGCCCTCAGTTGCCGAAGATGCCGAAGCGGCAGCAGCAACATTGGCATCAGTAGCCGGGGGGGAGGAGGATGTTCAGGTAGTTCAAGCTCCAAATAGCCGTCCTGGTTCCCGTATTTGAGGAAAGGGTATACGCCCATGTAGACGCGCCTGATGTGGGAGCCCTTGGTGCGCAGGCCGCAGCTCAGGTAGATCTTGGCGAAGGCCGCCGACTGCTCCCAGCTGCCGGAGTTCACAGGGTCAGCTTGAGCTGGCTCGGAGATGAAGGCTCCATCCTGGTTGCCTTTTTGGTCAGAGGGATCGGCCAGGCGGGCTGTGCCTCGTATGCTGCCCGCACCCACTGTGTGAGCTCAGCCATGGCATGTCTTGGCAGCTTGGGGCAGGAGGTTGAGTGAGTTCTCCAGCCTCAGTGCTTCATGATCTGAACCAGGATCGTTTGTGCCAGGCGATAATAATCGCCCTTCACTGTTCGTCTTGGAAGATCTTGAAGTTCATGGGGTGGTCGATGGAGGGCAGTGGCGGGATCACACGACCCGATAGCAGTGTGTGAACCGCTGAAGCGGCACTGGTCGAACCTGGGGTCTCCATGTCTGCAGCTTTACGCTTTTGCGCCTCATCAACGATCCTGGCCAGGGCCAGGAATTCCGACCAGCGATTGGGTAGGAGGTCCATTGATTTAGGCGTACAATTGTGCAAGCTACACCTTGAGCCTCGAGAATGTGATAAACTGTCCTGGTTCATAGACATGACGGAGTCTTCAGAGTGAGAAGGTGAACGAGCTTGCTGACTTGTTTGTCCCTCTGCTCACGAACTCATCTGAGAGAGTTGGCTCCGGGACTCGGTGCTGGCTTCTAGCCCCAAAATTGCTGTAGGCATATGCCCGCAAGAGCGCTTGCGCTTAGTGATGATTGAGAAAGAGCGGATCCTTCCTCGACGTTTGTCCGGGGTCGGCTGTGCCGCTTTGCCCGATCACTGTGTGAACAGGATTACGCGAAGGCGGACCCTGGAGTAATCACGTCAAGGGACCAATCCATCCAGTTAGGGCAGATCGGTCAGCTGTGCCGCTCGGCTTGTCCACTGTGTGAACAGACTTACGCCTTGCCTCTGGCTTTGCGCGCCAGGCCTCCTGGTGCCTTCTTGCCGAGCCGCTCTCCGTCGTAGGTGTCCGAAACTTCCAGGAGGAGCGTGGAGTACGGCATGAGCTCGGAGTACAGGGCAATGCGCAAGTCAAGGATGAGATGGGTCTTCTTGAGATTTGGCCGATCTCACGAGCCAAAGATGCGTGTGAAGACGGGTCCGAGAGGCGAGTAGCCAGGGCCATGAAGTTGTTGTAGCGCTCATTGGTCGAGCCACCCGAGCCTGTGTGTTGAGGCGGGGGTTGCCCCTTATAGTGAGCTCCAGTAAGAGGCTGGAAGCAACCGCAACAGAGCATGAGCCCGCGGGGTGCTGGTTCATGGGCCTTCTGCCAACCCTTCACCGCCTTCTGCAAGACTTGTGACAAGCCGAGCTCGATTGGAAGCTTGTAGACCAGCGATAGTTGATGCTGAAGCAGACTGATCTGTTCGTCGTGCACCAAGAAGGCCGTTGTAAGCTCCAAGTTGCTCAAGGCGGTGACGCGCCGAGCGCCGCGCATCTCACCTGTCCCTCCTGCCGGAGGTGGGCCAGTGGGCGCCGTTGCTGCAAAGAGCGCAGTCTACGAAGGCAGTGAGTTGTTTCGCCGTGATCCGAGAGAGGGTTCATCTTCCTCAGGCGCCTCTGGAGCGTCTTCCATAGATGTGGCAGGTTCCCGAGTTCGGACCCGTTGAACAGGCCTGCACGTGCGCTTTGACGCGGGGCGGACTGCGCCAGCCTGTTGCCGACTGCAGTCTTCCCGCGCACAGGCACCCCTTTACCCTAAGGCCGAGGGCCAGCACCCGTTCATACAAAGAGTCAGCTGATCCAAAGAGAAGAAAGAGGGAGAGAAAAGAGAGAGGGGCAAGAAGAGAGGGAGATGCAGGATTCAATCCCTGCGCTTGAGTAGAAACATGTAGCCGTCGTTCTGCAGGCCGACCTTTTCGCTGGCCGTAGCCAGTGCTGGGCGCCGGAAATCATCGCAGATGTAGACCTGCTGTGAAGCAGGTGTACGCTGAGCAGTAGCCCTTTGCGGCCAAAAGGCACGATATGACCCTCAGTCAGTGTCGAACCGAAATGTGCGATACCGGACATAGCTACGTCTACGTACGGTTTCATTGTCCGCTCCTGTCCTTCACCCCAAACTGGCAGTGCTATCTGTTCCTGCCACACAATTGGGGTGCGATTTTTAGCCCCTGCCTGCCATCGCCCTAATACGACAGGTATCACCTCAGGTGCCCAGCATAAAGCTCTTTGAATGGCACCATCACTCCAGGCATCTATGCAGGCTTGTAGGGTGTCTTGCGTAGGCATCGGCAGCATGAGAAACGAGTATCCCGTTTCAGTGTCATCTACCTCCCCATCCGTGCGACCCTGCCATTGCGCTGGGTCCAGTGAGCCTGACGGCACCTGTAACAGATGTGATAAAAATTCTGACGCGTCGTGTTGTCGACCATCGATGCGCCATCCCACCGTCAAGTGACGAAATTCAAAAAGACCAAACAAATTCAGCGGGCGGAGCTCATGCAATCCAATCTGCGTGAGAACAGGCTGTAGCTGCCCTAGGTCAAATCCATGCAACGAGACTACCAGCAAGGCTTGAAACACTGAATTCGCGTAGCGTGCGTTACACGAGTTTGTCAAGATGCGGAATGTACTTGCCCATGTCGCAGTTGAACCTATCTCTCTTAGGTCGTCAATGCGGTGAGTGTTGCTGGGCGCTGAACAAGACTGTGTGTCCGACACTGCGATACCTCGGTCTGAGGCAAGAATTTTTGACCGGTGTCCAAAAAACTGGTGCAAAGACTGTGTCTTGTTTTGCTCGGGACTGTGTCCCTCAGCTGGCACCCCGGCTGTCTGAGTGCTCTGCAGACTCTGTTGAGCCTCCTTGGTGGTGTGAGTTCGCAACCATTGAGACGCAAGCTGGTACAGAACCGGGCATTGTTCAGGGTGGTTGCGCCTGTCGTGAACTTTATAGCCACAAAACGGGCACATTTGCCCTTTGATTAGCTGGAAAGAGTACCCCGCACAAAGTTTGGCCGTCGAGGCGTGAAGACGTCGCCAGTCCTGTGGATGCGCTTGACGAAAGTGCGACTTGACCTTGGTGCGATCTGGCGTCCAGAAATTACAGACCAGGCATCTGTGATTCAGGACATCGTTGACCGGTCTGCGTGCTCTCACACCTAGTAAGTGCTCGGGCAGAGCAGCTAAGTCTACCCGAATTGCTTGTAGAGCCGCTGCTACTGGACCTTCGGCGGCGTGGCTCGAAATCGAGAGCTCGCGAAGCTTAGCCGGCGAGGGGCACGCCCCCGATAGGAGGTGACCCCGCAACCCCTTCCATTGCTTGAAAATATGCAGACAGGCCGCGCACTGAGGCATCCCTTCGACCGCGTGTTTCAGCCGATCAAACTGGTCAGGGATGAACCTGTCAATGGACTCGGGGTGAATTTTCGAGCGATGCAAGTGGACACCTTGCGCGGTCTCGAAAGAGGCGCCACACAGCTCACAGCTATGGAGGCGAGCCGGGTCTTGGTTTTCGACCGGAAATTGCTCGATGGCGCGAATCTTGGCACGAAGGCAAGTGAGAGCGGCATCAGACGTAGTAATGTCGGGTTCAAGCCTGGCACGTCTCCTCAATTTGCGCAGTCTCTTGCGCAGACGCTTGAGGACAAGCTGCGCCGGGTCTTCAAGTTTATAAATGGCATACAAGTCCTTAGTGGAGACCCTGCCAATATGTGCTGGCTGATTCAAAACCGTGCGAACCTTGTAGGCATGCCAGCTGCGTAGAGATTGAGCCGAGTCCTCGGATAGGCCTACTTCCGCAATCCCCGTCAGAAGCGTGCTTTGCACAGTTCCCAGCCAGACCTTCAGCCTGGATTTGGTGCTTGCGATGCGGCGGTTGTGAACAAACTTCCTCACCAAGTGGAGTTTCTGTTTCGCTTCTGAGATTCTGTGTTGCAGAGTTTGCTGCTCAAAATGGTTGTAGGAGATAATCACCCCTAAATACTTTGTTGAAGAAGTCCACTGAAAAGCCGGGAAGGTTTTGTTCGGTCCTATACGCCAGCCTTTGACCGGTGTTTCCTTGGCATCAATCACGGTGCATGAGTGTCTTCGGACAACCTGCGGGGCCGTCTTGCCTGCCAATTTTACCAAGATAACACACTTAGCCTTGTTGACGACTAGTCCAAAAGCTTTGACGGTTTCCAAGAGCCCGCCAATGAGCGCATGAATAGATTGTAGGTCTTTCAGTGAGCGAATCGTACGGTGTAACGCGAGATCATCTGCATAACCTGTCAAAAAACGCACCACTTGGTCTCGTCCGAATGCTGCTATTAAAGACTCAAACAGTTCTCCTGTCAGCAAGGAGAACAAGGTGGGTGACAGTTTGCAGCCCTGTTTGATGCCCACCGTAGTTTCCACCGTGGCCGATATCCCTTGTGTCCGTATCTTGTAGCTGGACTTGTGGTGTAGGGAGTGCACCATTCGGACGGTGTCCGGATCCGCCGATCTGTCTGTCAGGATTGACAAGATCTTTTGGCGGGAGACTGTGTCAAAGGCCTGGCTTAAGTCCAGCGCGAACGTCAGGCCGCCGACTAAGTCTGGGGCGGTAGCTCCTGCCTGGAGTTCGTGTCGGCTTGGGCGGGCCTGGCCCAGTAATGACCTGGCTTCCTGGAGGTGTGCTACCACTCTGTCTAAAGCGTCCGAGAGGCCTCGGCCTGGTAGATATGCAAACTGAGGGAGGTGTCTTAGGCTCGTCTGGATGCAATGCGAAAGTGATTGCGGAAAGAGCTTCAGCTACTTCCTGACTGCATTGTTTCCAGACGGCCGCCGGTGCTGCATCTGAAGGCACTGCTTTGTTAGGCTTGATGGATTGGATGTGTTGCTGCAGTGATACTACCGATAACGAGGGAAGTGGCCCAGAGATGGGAAGGAGGGGCTGGTGCGCCGCAAACACGTCTTTTGCATACTGCCTGAGGGCATCCAGCTCGTCTTGAGGAGACATGAGATATCCCTCTTTTGACTTAAGTTGAGCCCTCCTTGCAGGCTGCCAGGGACGCAGCAGTTTCAGAGTCTGGTATGCGACATGTTGGTCGCCATCTGAGATGGACTGAATCACCTCGTTCAAAAAGCAGTGCATTTTGTCTTTGTGGGACTGCTTGACTGCTTGTTTGTGTGCTTCCTGGGCCGCTTTAAGTTCATCCTCCAGTTGATCCTGCCCTACCCCTTGAGGGGAGGGGTATGGATCCGAGCTGATCGTTGCTGAAACAGTGGCATCTACCTAGGCGCTGACCTCAGCGGCAGGCTGTGCCTCTCCGAGCCGGACCTGCTGTGCAGAAGCTCTGGCCCTCCACATGCGTCTAGTGGGAATCGTAAGATGTGGCATCTGAGCCTGCCGTACCTTAGGGAAGAAACGCGTGGTTGCCTCCAGAAGCAAGGAGTTCCAAAGAGGCGGGGTGGTGCATGAATGAATTCTGCCTCGTACCCACTCCTGCATGTCGACGGCCGCTTGAGCTCCCGTCCGGACAGCTGTCTGGAGAGCTATCTTGTCATATCCCTGAGGAGGCGACTGAGTCTTCGGCAGGAGCCAATGCCTTGTGGGATGTATGGTCGCCAGAATGGGTAAGTGAACCTCCCGACTTCCAGCTGCCGGGACGAAAGTTCTCAACTGGGTGCGCCCTTTTGGCAGTCTTGCCTGCATTAGTCTCACGGACAAGCACGAAATCGACTTGTGTTGCAGAGCCATACTGCGCGAAAGTCCGACACGGATGGCAGTGCCACGTGTTCAAAGCGACTAGACGGAGGGTGGAAACCAGATTTGACCACTCCGGTTCGTCCGGCCTGCGATCGGAAGGTTCCACGACACACGGTCCCACGAGTTGTGGGGAAGCTGAGAGAGAGGTATTAAAATCCCCTGCAACGACCAAGGTGTCCCGTTTAGGAGTTTGACGAACTGCCTTAGACAGTGTACGTAAGACCGAGGCGCGGTCTTGCTTATTATCCTGCTGCGTTTTCTGAGACGACCACGCATGCTGGTAAATTGCTAGCACTGACACTCGCGAGCCATGCCAATAAGCCCGTGCCTCAAGTACTCTGCCCACCGTCCATTCCTTCCACCGAATCTGTTCTTTGTTAAACTTTGGAGAAAACAGAATCATGAGCCCATCTGCCCTCGTTGTCGATGGAGACTTGGAATCTGTCTCGTTCGGCTGTGCCGCTGCAGGTTTCGGCTGTGCCGCGCCCTCCTTTTTAAGCTTTTTGCTCCGGCCACCACGCCCCTTCTTAGAAGGGGCCTGTGCCGAGGGTGGCTCGCTCGCCGAAGAAACGCAATACCAACCTGCAACCGAAAATTCCGTAGTAGCCTTCCAATGAGTTTCCTGCAGCACCAAAACATCACAAACCTTTGCAGCACCAAAACATCACAAACCTTAGGAGCTTCATCCACCAACCAAGTTCTAATTTCTGCCCACTGCTGTTGTCCCAGATGCCCAGCGTTCCAAGACATGACTCGGATGGGGCGATTCATCTGTCCTGCCCGCCTCGTAGGCGCATTTCGCAACCGATTGTCCTGAGGTGGCGGAGGACAGTCGCCAGTCCTTCGCAGCAGCGTCGGAGTGAGCGATTGACCTCGATAATTCACTGGTGCCTGGGTATTCATAACCCGACGACATGCATGTCTAAAAGACTTCTTGCGCAAGGATGGAAAGTTCTGCGAGTGCACTGGAAGCAACGCCATCCGCTGTTTTCACTACCAGCTGTTAACCGAAGTATGCTAGGTAGCTTGCTCCACCGCGCGGAAGGTGGAAACCCTACCGCCTGCCCAGTAAGACAATGTCTTAGACAGAGACTGGGTCCAGGAATTGGGACCTGGCAGATAAGACTGGCTCAGCAATAGTGGCACATGGCTCAAAAAGGGGGACAACTCACCTTACGGTTAAGAGAGAGGCCTTGTCGGAACCTCTAGAGAAGTTGGAGCCCCAAGCCCGTTCGAAAGCCACACGAGCTACCCTGCCAGTCTGATCCGTGGCGGCTGCAACAGCAGCAACCGCAACAACAACAACAACAACAACAACGCCAGCGGCAGCAGCAACAACAACGACCATTACCACGATTGTGACCGCGTCTTCGAAGCACTGGCGACCATGAAGATTACAATGACCACGACGACCACGACGATCCCGACGTCCGTGGTGAGTGCGACGACAACGACCACCAAGAACACGACGACAAAAGTTCGACAGAGACTACAGCCAATGGTAATTAACACAAGTCCAATGCAGTTTCCATGTGTGGAGTTTGTTCCAACTGGTCGGGCTCACGTTGACCTTGCCCTCATTCTGTTGTTGCATCTTACTATCTATCCGTCAAGCGAAGCAGCTTATGCGGTGTTCTGGACAGTCTTGCTGTTTCGCCTCCCGAATTCGCGGCGTGTAGCCTCTGCAACAGAAGCATGCTTCGCACACTTTGCAGCCTGTTCGTGTGGCAAGATCTCCTATGCGTTGGAACCACATGGTCAAAGCGAATGACTGCAAGCTCACCTTCCCTCAGCCGGAATCAGGGACTAGAAGCTTGGCGTGTAATCATAGGCGTGCTACCTCGTCGCTCGCACTCGCCTCATTCCAGCATCGAAAGCTGAGTGCCCTGCCATGTGCCCAAAGACAAGATGGCTTGGGACACCTGATTGACATGCTGCATGTCACATTGGAGCCGATTTCACACTCTCGTCTCTGTCGTTGACCTTGCCGTGCAGATATCTTCAGACCATGAGGCCCTGCCCGATACAGAGACACCTGTTTGGAACCAGATGCTGGTTGTGCGCGACTCTCGGGGGCCCAGATCTTTAGAGCGGTCCGCCAGCTCTCAGCAGTTCTAATGGACATGTGACATTGTGCGCAGATGTTGTGCAGTGACCAGCCTTTGTCATGCTGGAGGCCTGGCTGGAGACGTGGTGAGCCACTGATTGTGCAGGTGCCGTACTCGTGCTCGCTTCATACGATTTTGTTTCTTGCGCCTTGCAGTAGGTTCTTGACGCTGACCTCGTGGGTTCGGACGACCTCCTCGCCAGCGTGGAGGCAGAGCTCGTAAGAAGATGCATTCCACCTCGCAGGTAAGCTTCTTCGATTGTTCGGTTCACGTGTGATAGACTATGAGTTTATCTGTGACGGAGAAAGCAAAGATTTAGCCTAGAGCGCATGGTGTCGCAAGCGCGAGCGCATGGTGTCGCAAGCGCGTACTGTCGGCGATGTCTTGATGCTTGTCGTCCAGAGGTACCGAGTGCTGCATTCTTTCCAAACGGATTCGAAGGGAGGCCCGGGTCACAGCTTCCTCGGTGCCGCGGCCGCCGCGGCCGCATTAAACTCGTGCGCTAGGCTGGAGATGCAAAACTTGTGGGTCCCTGATGGAGAAACTATAGTCGCCGACGACCTCTACCAGTTCAATCTTGCCTGCAGGCAGTGCAGTGTTCGCACGAGCTTGTACGCACCGGAAGCTACAATTATCGTAGTCAGGATGTTCGATAACCTGCAGGCCAATCATTGAGCTGAAGATTACCCTGCGCGACGACGTTTACACTGGTGACAGGTGGGTGGCTCAAAAAATGTTCGCGTGTGGCATGGAAGCAGTCAGGCCAGCCATCAGCTATCAGGAAGCGGAACAGGCAGTGCTCTCCTCAAGCCTGCATGAGATCTCGCCGCTCATGTTCTTGTTCCTGATCTCTGCCGTGCAAGGTCACGATGCCTGGTGCGCAGCCCACGCTAGGCTAGGCACCTGCAAAATGAGCATGACACTGCGTCACATTGTGCCTTGCAGATCTCTGCAGATATCAATGGTAATGTTGTGGCAGGTGCCATCTGTGCCCACCTTGACAACTTCGAAGCTGCACTCAAACCAGTGACTTCCATGCATGAAGTGTCAATTTATTCTGCGTCTTGTGCCTCATTATTTGATTACGAGACCCGACAGCAAGTTTGTTTACTCCTCAGGTACCGCGATTGGGGAACTTCTGGGTGAGTCCCAGATGAAGGATTTCCTGGTCGGGCGGCTTTTCAGAGCTCATTTCGACTCACTGGCCGTCATTTTTTCAGTAACGGAGATGGTTGAGTCCACTTTTGCAGCTGCGAATTGCTAATACGGCAATTTGGTTGTGTCACTACTTTTCAACAGCTCCGCCAAAGTCGCGCACCCAGTCAAGCTGGATCTCTAAAATTGTACATAGCTGCACATCCGCGCACCGACAGCCGAGAGGGTCGGAGGCGGTGATCCTCAGCGGAGTGTCGCAGGCAAGTCATCGGAAGGTTTCTCTTTTTCGATTTTGGCGTGATGCTAGGGCAGATTCCTAGAAGAGGAGGTTGGGGGAGGGACCTGGGAGTCGGTCGCTTTGTGCTCGGCTCAGAGCCCACGCTCGGGCCATGATCGGTTCAGGTCATGAGCTCCATGATAAGCTCCCGGAGTTACGTCTGAGCAAGTACTCTTGTTCGCAGCTCGACGAAGTGCAGTCTTGATATGCTGAGACGAGAGCGGTTACAAAGCAGCATCGCAGACCCAAACAAGCCGCACACGAGGGAGGCGTTTCCCACATCCAACTTCAGCGCTGCCTGAGGCTTGGTTTACTTGTTTTATCTGGTGGCCCTGTACAACACAATGCAAAGGAGATTAGGCCAGCATGAATGCAGCTCTTCGTGGAACCTGGCTGTGTTGGCAAATTTAGTGGGGCTCAAGGCAATCCAAGACTCCCTCCACGAATGCTCACTCATGTGCTCTGCGAAAATCCATCTCTGAGTCACGTTGCGCCTTCGAGCGAATGTCCAAACCTGTTCATGGTACAGGCTGCAGCGTAACACACAAGTTAGCAAGGCTGACAAGCTGACGGTAGACCAGCAAGCCCGGAGCTCTCCAGAGGCTATGCCCAAGAAGAGAAAGCTCGTCCCGCAAGATGGGCCGTGCGGACCCTGGCATGCGATATGACTTAGCGCTCGTTGTTTGTTCGCCTTCCCACAATACAGATGCCCTTTGCTACTTATTTCATCCTTTGTTCTGTTCTCTTTTTGCTACTTGGCCATCATGATCTGGTCTTCGGTCTGATTGTGACGAAGTCTTGTCGGCAAAGGCTGTCACACGAAACATAGCTAAGCCCCGTGTGCAGCCTAGTCTCAGTTTGCGTTGCCTTCATTTGTCAGCCTTTGAATCTCCAATGCTTCCTGGCTTGATGGTGTGCCGAGAATGGTCCTTGGCTTTCTTTTGCACTGGATGCCGCTCCCCAACTCACACCCAAGTCTTCCTCTCGGAAGTGCATTTGTTGTTCTCTGAGAGCTTTCGCTGCATTGTTGTCGCTTCTGGAACTCTTGAAAGAGAGCTACAGTGGCGTTGGGCCTCTACGTGCATCACCGATTGAGGCCAGATGCGTCCACTGCGGAGATTACTGAGCTGTTGGCCCCCGCTAAGCGGTTTGTTTCCCAGAATTTCAAGTGTGACCACGTCCGACAGCATCCTGTTGTCCAGCTGCAAGGCATGAGTTGTTTTGCACATTTGTCAAACGCCGCTGAGATCTGCGTTGACTGCACAGAGAAGACCGGAAGCGAAGTCTGCAGCCAAGCAAGACGTCATGGGAGCTTTTGTGTGTTGTTTGCCCGTGTTACGAGGACAGTGCGCAAAGCGAAGCCCAAAGCAAAGAGCGCGCCAATCGCAGCAGCCAAGTCGGCGCCGGTACCGTCGCCGCCACCAGTTCAGAAGGACCGCCCGGCTCGCTCTGTGAACACGTTTCGTATGAGCCGAATGGCTGGCTGTCGATCGTTCCCGACAAACTTCAGAAGGCAAGCTACGATGGAGCCGCGCTGGCATTGGAATTGTTGGAGGCGTGTGACAGTGCACCCATAGTGACTATAGTGCATGTCGATGCGGCTATACCTCTCTGCCATCATCGGCGGAATTGCCACCAGGCTGCGACAACGCAACTGCTAAGGCGCCCGATCCTCGGGCAAAGCATGCTGTGCCGTCTATGCAGCGTTTTCACGTCGAGGCTCACCCCCTTTGCACCTTGCTCGTTCGCAGTTAACGCTTCTTGCATGCTGCGCTCGGGATGTTGGGATGTTGAACAGCCCTGAAGTTCGACCTTGTTGTGGCCGGACCGGATGCCAAGCCGCCAAACCAGACCGCTCATAAAGGGTTCTTGTAGGTTTTCTTCCGACGAGAGGATAGACCAGGATCGATTCCTTTGTCGCAGCAGCAGGCAGAATCTACATGGCTTCTTGAAGACCCAACCAGCAACATTTAAGGTGTTCACTTGTCAAGCACAACTCAAGCATACGCCATAGAAAGACAAGAAACTGTCCACACAAATGTCACAAGAAAAGCATCAGCAAAACAAGCTGAAAGACACACACACACACACACAGACATTTGCGTGTCTCTCGGGTCGCATGTCGCTACACTCTGCCCCTGGGTGAAAAGGCATTCGCTTCCCCACTTGGCTTGACATTTCACTGAAGGGCCTTGTATTGATTCCACCACTTTGCTGTCCTGTCATGTCCTGTCCAGTTTGTGCAGACGCTTGTCCCCAAACTGAAAGCATCAAGTTCTCGACATCGCCGCATCGAGTATTATTTCTTCAATGAATCCAACATCGTTTCCTGTCGACGTGAAGAGTTGGCGGCATTCCGGTGTTGTCTTGCAGCCTAGCTAGGGCGGTCTCGCGCTCGAAGGCAGAGGCTGGTTTCGTGATGTGCGTTTGAGACGGTCCGCTGATGCCATGCCCTCAGACTACTTTTGATAAAGTGCGGGGCTTCTCCCGCGCCCCGAGTCTTGTTTTAAGATTCGACTGGACGGACGGAAGGGGTCACGAAGCCAGTAATGCAATCAAGCCGGATTCAAAGTTGGGTTGTCGTTTCTTATGTAGGTATCTGTCTATCTACTTATCTAAATCAATCAATCAGCCAATCACTGAAACATTTAATTAATCAAATAACCTATCTATCTATCTTTCCTTCTGTCTATCCAACAACCAATCTATCTATCTATTTTCTTTCTGTCTATCAGTCTCTCTATTTCTCTATGTACCTACCCACCTATCTATCTATCTATCTATCTATCAATCTTCCTATCTAACTTATCTTACCGAGTCTTACCTATCTCACCTGTCTTACATAGCTCGTTAATGGTAGCTGTGTTAGCAATCTTGGACGTATCTTAGCTTTGTAGCTATCTACGTACGTACATACCTACCTACCTACCTACCTGCCTGCCTGCCTGCCTACCTACCTACCTACCTACCGACCGACCGACCAGCTATCTACCTATCTGTAGCGACCTAGATAGGCAACTGGTTGGATGCACATGTGCACATGCATGTTTCCCTATATACGAATGTATGTACAAAGTCTTTCCGTCAGTGCTGTCCTGGACGGGGCGTTCTGCTTGCTTCATACACTCAGTGCTCAAGAACTTACATGATGCTTATCGTGTGTGCTTACTGTCAACGGCATGTGGATCAAAGTTTGTTCAATCACGATCAAAAAAGTTTTTTACATTCTAATCAGGATCAAAAGTCTTTTACTCAGGATCAAAAAACTTTGACCAGGATCAAAAGACATTTAATCAGGAATCGCTGCGGTTAATTCGACTTTTCTATTATGTCCGCTATATTTATTATTATTACTACTACTATTATTATTATTACTA